GTGGGAAGCGTTCCCCGTTCTCCTTTTATTTTATTTTGATCGGTCTCCTCGACGCTCTTTCTCGTTTGGTGCGGTAGCTGGTCTTTCTTTCTATCATTCATTTTGTTCCTCTTCCGAGTGGTTTTTGTACCCTATTTTTTTCTGTTTCTTCGTGGGGTCGTGTATGCCGGGTTTTGAGACCACGGGCTCCCAATCTTGTTTTTTAGAGCTAATGCGAGAAACAACAACAACAACAACAACTACAGCAGTAGTTGGCCCTGTATGCTGCTGTTTTGTTTTGTTTCCCCGCGGCGTCGTCTGTGCCGGGTTTTGACACCACGGGCTCCCCATTTTTTGTGGACTAGTCTATAGAGCTAATGTGAGAAACAACAACAACTGCCGGTATGTTTCCAGAGAATTTGCCGTTCGAAGTACAGATAAGGCCCGGGGATAAGAAACGTCGAAATCGAGTGGAGCCTCAATTTCTTACGGTCAGTCCAAGACCCAATATCAACAATTGCGACACACACATTATGAATTGTTTCTCTGCACCCAGGTGGTTGTTCGCAAAACCGAAAGTACCGGCAAACGCCCTGTTTCCAGGTGCAGGTTCCTGTGAATTTTTTTTTTCTTGTCGATTTATTTGCAAATAACCGGAAAATCTTGTTCACTTTTTCCTGGGGTGGGCTTTTGTCAGACCACAATTATGAGACCGGATTTCGACAGCTCTCGCGATTCCCCAGGTGTATTTTTTTTCCGATTTCGATTTCAGCAAAATTTGACGAAGTTATCGCCGAAAAACTGGATTAGATAGACCATTTTGTTCACTTTTTCCCTCCGACATTCAACCATAGAGCTTCAAAAAGACCACGGCAATCGATTCCTCTCGAAATTCCCCAGATGGAATTTTTTTCCGATTTTCCGAAAAAAATCTGGTTCGCGAGATATTCGGCATTTTGTTTTGCCGATGGGCGGCGNTTTTCGACACGCACGTCTACGCCGCAAAGACGCCCGAGCAGCTGGAGGAGGAAGAGAGGGAGGCGGCGAAAAAGGATCCAAAATACAAGAGGCCCAAGTTCGGCAGCAGCCTTGGAGACTTCAAAGCGGGCGAAAAAGTACGGACTACCGGCCGTACCTCAGGCCTGATCGGCCAGGCGAAAGGCGGACAGCAGCTGCTCATGGAGATGGGCTTGTGGGACGTTCCTGGCCAGGCTCCCATTCGGGTTCTCGAGTGCAAAGCGTGCAAAGAGGAAAGGAAGGCAATAAAGGCAGCAATAACCGCGTTCAACCGCGGCGGAGAGGCACGGCAGCAGGCGTTGGATGATGCTGCGCGCGAAGACCAGGACGGTGGAGGAGACGGTGCCTCGCCAGAGGAGGGGACAGAAGGCGGGGCGGCTGGCAACCGTGTCGGCATGAGGCGTCGCTGCTGCATTAGGAAAGTTTTTGCAGAGCTCAAGGCGTTCAAGATGGAGCTCAACAAGATCGAAAAGATGTTCAAGAAAGCGGGGCACATCTGCATATTCTTGGCGAAGTATCACCCAGAGCTCAACGCCATCGAGCGGTACTGGGGATACGTCAAGCACCTCCTTCGCCTCTCCTGCGAGTACTCTCTCCCGCATATGCTTGAGATTCTGCCAGGCGCCTTGAGTGGCGTCCCGCTGGGGTTTGTTCGCGGGTGGAGCAGGGTGACGTGGCTGTATCTCGAGGCCTACGACGAGGGATTGGTGGACTACCTCGAGGTCCGCGACCTCAAGAAGTGGTTGAGCCACCGTTCCCCCACGGAGAGGGGTGACTCCGTGGTTCTGGCGAGGGCAGGGGCAGGGAAGACGGAGGAGGAGAAGAAGAAAGCAGAGGAGAAGGCGCTAGCAGCCGCGCAGGAGCTGCGTACTGAGTCGATTAAGAGGGCGAAAAAGAATTTCAAATCGTTCAAGCAGAAAAGGGCGCTGCTCTCGCTGTGCGAAAAGCGCGAGCTGCGCCCGCGGTCGCGGTCGCCTTTAACTTTGAAGGAAGCGTTTAGGTTGTTGGTGAGATTCCTAGGAAAATAAGCTGTCCGAAACGCGCAAGCGTGGACGGAGGTGTGTGTCGTGGTGTTTGTGTTTTTGTATTTGTGGTGTTCACTTTAATTATAATCATTTTTGTGTGTTTGTGTCGTGGTGTTCGCTTTTGTAAATCGTGTCCTGTGAGGCGAGGGTTACCCGTTCAGAGCGTGTTTGGGCTCTTACCGGACATTTACAGTGTGATTTGGGGATTCTGTGAAGAGGTTAGGGGGCCCCGTGGGGGGTCGAGGGGGGGGGTAGGGGTTCCGTGGATCATTATGACCAAAAAGTCGCATTTTGCCCAAACACAAAAAACTCATCGGATATCGACGCAGCTCGACGCCGCCGTCACGGCCAAAGCAGTTTCACCTTCCAAATCGTTTTTGTTCGAAAGTTATCGCAAACAAAATGTACAAATTGTCCTGGACTGACCATATTTTGGGCAGAAGGACCAGCCGACGTCGGTCAATTTCTTAAAAGCGGATTTTTTTTTCCCTTGGGCTGTCGCATCCTGCTCATTCTCCTGTTGCTTCTGTATTCTCTTATTTCTGATGGCGAAGAAAACGACACACCAAAAGCCTTCCTGCAGCACTAAACCGACAGCTCGGTGTGGCGAACATTGGGGGTTGTGGCAGTACAGAAGTACAGCAGCAGTGGGTTGCGCAACCCGCGGCGGCGCTGGGGCGGGGGGCGCCGCGAAAAGAAGTACTCTCCGCCCCCACCTACCAAAAAATTACAGTTCATGAGCTACAGGTATGCATAGGAGGTGGGAGCAGGGAACATGGCAGCATTGGGACGTTTCTTTGGCGCACGCCCCCCCAGCTTCTACCCCTTGTTCCTTCTGCCTTGGGGTATCGCACGATCATTTTCCTTGTTGGGACGTTTCTTATGTTGCGCCCGAGGTTGAGATGTGTTCCTGTGGCCCTTGTTCTTATTTTCCGTCAATCAAAGAGCCTTTTTTTCTGAACATATTTTGTCTTGACTGCGGGCCCCATCTGTACAGAACGACTGGGTATTTCGTTGTGTGCGAGCCGAAAACACCGGCACTATTCAACCGGCACTTAAGAGGGCCCAATACTGTACCTACCTACTTTTGCTGGGAGCGTATAATGCAATGCAGGACGGCCGATGGTCTGATTCCTCGCGCCTCGGACGTTCGGCTGAAAAAAAGCCCGTGGTTCGGAGCATCGGAGTGAACGAACGTGATCATTCATCATTCATCCTGTCACATTTTTTGTACCCGTTCTGTGAGACCGCTATAGAGACCGGATCGGTCTCGTAGAGGGACAAGCAGCGTGGAAAAGGGTGCTTGGGAACGTACCTGCTATCATGCAAGTAGTTTCTTTTCGTGCGTAATAACGCCGGTACTGGCCGACAGAGAAAACCGCTGTTCTGCTTGCAAGGGGCGGTGGGACATGAGATATTTTGATTGCTCTATCGATTCGTGCGACGGAGTTGGAAAATGTGGCTGACCAGGAAACCGACCGTGCCATCCGTCTTTGACCAATTAGATCGTCCGTTCAGACTTGTCACTGCTAAATGTGTCATGGTGCTTGAGTGGTTCGCGAAGCGGCCTCCGTGTCCTGCACATCATTTTTTTTCGAATAAATTCATAGGAATCCAAATCAATCCTAGCTAGGTTGTCTTCGTGGGTGATGTTTCGATCGCGTAGAAAGAACCTAAATAAGAAGAGGTGCTTCGAAACAACACGGCCCTTGTAGGGATTCCAATCAATGGAATCCCAGATTGTTTTAGTGAATAGCGTTGAACACGTCCGTAAACAAAAGATGTGCTTCAAAACACGCCTGCCTCTAGGACTCAATAAAATAACATGGCGGTGACATCGGGTCATCGTCACCAAATCCAAGCATCCGCTTCGAGACACATCTCCATTAACCAAAAATCTTTGTTCTTTTCGACTGAAGGGACACAGCCCCTGCCACTAATAGCAATGAATGATCCTGCGCTGGTTCGGCCGTCGAGTGCGAACGCATACCCGCAGAAAACATGCACGCGCCAGAAGTGTCTACATGTCCTCGAAGATATCAAAATCTGCTTCTTCGTCATCGTCCACGCTGCCCCCGCTCCCCGTGGAAAAAGGCTCGAACAAAAAGCCTCCATCCTTGTCGTCCTCCTCCTCCGCTTGGGTGCCTTCATCTCATAAAGAAAGCGGTGCAACGTGTGAAGGGGCGCGCGAGGCGGGGGAAGGAAGTGAGTGCAGTAGTGGTCCCGCAATAGTCCCGGTTTGGCGTTCCGCAATATTCCCGGTACGGTAAGTGCCAGCCCCTTCCATCGGTACGCGGTACGCACTACAGCAAGCAACTGGCATTACTCAGAGTATGAAACAAACATTTGAATATTCCGTCTGTGTCACCCGATTTCACCGGCATTATTCAACCCGCACCACACCGGGACCGCTACTCTGTGCTCGTTCGTTGCTTGCGTGAGGTAGCCGTTAGGCCGTTGACTACCTACCCATCCGTATCCAAATACGACTTCCTTCCCCGAATTGTTACCGTCAACGTGGCTAGCTGCCTCTGTTAAGGTTCTCGCCCGACCTCCTTCCGTGCCTTCCCGACTAAGGTATTCCGTGGATCATTCCAGCCCAACCGGTCCTTCCACAACATTTCCCCCATACCACCTTGTCAACCAGGTCGTGATGGATATTTCCGGCATTTCACCAGCCTTGTATGGAGGGCAGTGGAGGGCGGGACATCACCACTTTGTGTCGGTGGATTAGTCTGCTCATTTTCACAACGAACCATTACTCACATATGACCAAAAATCCCGTCTCTGTAGAGGCTTGAATGGGACGCATTCATACGCTCGATATCGATACAGCTGTTGTGGGATTCACGAAAGCGTTGGTCCTTTTTCGTCTGGGACTACAAATTAAAAAAATTGCGCTCCCTTCTTGCGGTGCAGCAGCAGCCGCGGACACGTACGTGCCCACTAACAACATTCGTCAACCACCCCTGAACCTCAACCGCCCTCCCCCCTGCCTGAAACACGACTTGGTTTCCATGTAGCGCTCGAAAACCACCTGGCTTGAACGATGCGGTGCATAACCTAAGACCGGAAAAAACTTACCCTTGTTCTCCGCGGCCCCTTCGTCCCCTCTCGCTGCACGCCTCCTTTCCCGCCGGTTCGGGGGTTTCGGTCTGTCCTTCTCCCTCGCAACATAGGCCAGCGACAGCCGCCCCTCTTCGTCGACTCCGTTAACTCTGACGTACATCTTCTCCCCCACACTCGCGAACTCGTTGAGGTTGTCCAGGTACCTGTTGTTAGGGTTGTCGGCGGGTGTAATACTGTAAGTCCCGATATACCATACCGCGGTCCCGAGTTGTATGGGTCCCAATACACCGCGGTAAAAATCGCTTGTCACGGGGTTTGGCTACCACAATACAAAAAGCTATATATTCCCCAACACTCATCAGTGTGGTGTCCCGATACACCGCGGTAAAAATCACTTGTCACGGAGCTTGGCTACCATAGTAATAAAAGCTGTATATTCCCTTCAACTCAATATTGTGGCGTCCAGATACACAGCGGCAAAAATCGCATGTCACCGGGTTTGACTACGACGCTCAAAGCGATATATTCGTTCCCCAAAATTGAATAGCGCGGTGTCGCAATATACCCCTGTATCGCTTGTCGCGGGCGTTGACTACGAATCTAAAAGCTGTATATTCCCTAATACTCAATAGTGCGGTGTCCCGATATACCGCGGTGATATTTGACTGTCACTACACCGCGGTACGGTATGGTACGGTCTTTCGGGACCACGACAGAACTTCATTACAGACAACGCCCGCGCTTTCAGAGCGACTATTGTTGGTTAAGGCTGGGTTCTTGGTCCTTAGGGTCATGCTATGTACGAATGGCCGCAATAAAGGTTGTAGTGTGGGGCATCTTTTGCTATGCGCACACATTCAGCAGTCGATGTCGATTTGCGTACCGACACACAGAGAGTCCGACATGAACCTATCGCTACGTCTATCTTGCCCTTACATGTATCAGTAGCAACAGCAGTCGACGCCGACATGCTTCCAACCCACAGAGACTCCGACCTGAATCTGCCGCTATGTTTGTCTTGCGCTTAGACTACATGCTTCATGTACCAGAATGCAACAGAAGTCGACGCCGACATGCCTACCTACCTACCTACCTACCAACACGTTAGCGCTCGCTTTTTACCTGTTCTCCTTCTCGCTGATGGAAGAAATGTGCACCAGGCCATTAGCTTTCGCACCGACGTCAACGAAGAACCCAAACTCCAACACCTAACAGTGCAGCAGCAGCAGCAGCAGCAGCAGCAGCAGCAGCAGAGAGCGGGGGGCACANCACTTCTACTAGCTAGACGACCCAACCGGGGTCACATAGGAGGGGGGGGTTGGACCCCCTCCTGCGGTTCATGCCTGAGGTATTTTTATCGCGAGAAGGGTACAGCAATCCCTTCCCTCGCGACTTACGAAGTCGATTATGGTTTACTAACAAACGAGCTTTGCAGCGCGTCGCTTTCATCCTAGACCAGGATTTATTTAGTGGGAAAAAAACTCTCTCTGCCGGGACTCGAACCCATGACCTGGTCCTTAGCAGGCTGCGAGGCTACCCACTAGACCACCGTGGCGACCGGTAACATGTGTGACCANGTACCCTTCTCGCGATAAAAATACCTCAGGCATGAACCGCAGGATGGGGTCCAGCCCCCCCCTCCTATGTTTTGNGTGACCACGGTTGGGTCGTCTACCTAGTAGAAGTGGAGGATAGGGGCCAGAGGGGCAGACGACAGAGTCCAACGATGGGAGAAAAAAAAAAAATACATGCTGATCACAGCCGGAATGACCCAAGATGGGGATGGAAGCACGCACCAAAAAAAAAAACACACACACACTAAGGAGGACGAGGGGGATCCAAAACGCACGAGGAACGAAATAAAGACGAACGCGTGTCGTGACAGAACGAAAAAGACGCCCGAAAGCGACAAGCACAGGTACCGCAAGGTTGCC